TAACTCGCAATATTATTCTCGCACATAATTTCGCTTTCTAGCCACACAACAACTTTCTACTTCATCAAGTAAACTCATCTTTGTTTTTCCTTACTTGCTTTAGGGCCGTTTATTTCTCCTCGTTTCTTATATTTTTAGCCGAATTTTAAGAAATTAATTCTCTTGTGCATTAAAAACACAGATTGACCAATAGTAAATTCATTTAATACAGATTTTGATTAATAATATCAAAAATTGGCAGAAAATGATAGTGGAATGGAACAATCAGATGAAATGCAAGAAATAAAGAAAGGAAAAGATTTATCTAACTCTCCTAATAGAAAGAAAAGGGGAGATAGCCGAAGGGAGAGATCAGTTGCAGTGAGAACAATTGAGAAAAGGAAAGACTCGCCCAACACTCTTGAAAGTGTGCCTTCAAATGACGGGATAAATTGGTTCAACCGCATAGATGAAATGCCTCGACGTGAAATCATCAAATATCTCGACCTACCCAGTCTCGTGGCTTTTTCCCAGGTGGATAATAGTCGTGAGTAGTTCAGTTCCACCTCCATTCCTGTGCTTTTTTACTCATTCCACTTATTTCCATTGTTTCTCTTCTCCCCACATGTACGCACGGAGTTGAAGAATTTGGCAGTGAGACGCACTTGTTGCGAAGAAGCCAGCAAATCCTCCAACATACCCAAATGTTGGTACTTCGATCATACTGATTTGGTCCAAGCTACCCATAGGATTGCTCACTGTTCTGATTGTAACCGCATGTGAGAGAAAGTGATACGTCGTGAGAAGGCTGCTGAATACAAATGGGAATTAAGTGAACAAAAAAATGGATGTCTAAAGAGTTAGAGAGAGAGATGTGTCAGGAAGAAATGGAAAGGCTTTTAATTACTTGCTCCATCGATTGGCAAATAGATTATGAAATACAATGTGAAGGGGGGGCGGAGGGGGCAAATTATAACTGACTTCAAAAGAAAGGTTCTGTTGGAGGTACTAACAAGAGTCTGCAATATCCCACGTCGAAAGTTGGAAAAGAAACTGGCTTGGCTATGAGACAGAATGAGGCCAAGGTATCAGAACTATAACCTTGCAGGAATTGCCCTGACATCATCTATAAAGGCAAAAATACGTCAGCTTACTTCAATTGTGGATTCATTGATATGCATTCAATTATACCACCCACCACATCAGCTGATACTACATCGTTTTTTGTAGAAGGCATATATATCAATTCTCCTGCTTTGTCTTCAAAATCGAGCTTCTGCAACTGCTGTTTTGTCTAGATACAAATAATTGAATTCATTTGACTTACGATCAAAGATCCTCACGCACTCGTTTGTCAAAGGATTCCACAATCTAATACCCCTGTTCAAACTACCACCGTCCAATCGACCTCTATCATCTGGTCTACGAGGGTCTACAGAATTTCTCAAACCACAATTCCACTTCTACGTAATCAGTAACTCCCCGCACTATATCCTAAAGCGTAGTGAAGTGGAACCATTCCACTATTTTTTCATTTGGAGTAAATCAAATGCAATCATGGAAGTTAAATTTACTCTGAACTAAGTTTAACGGAACGGAAAGAAGGAGCCAAGGTAAAATTTTAGTAGAATTTCGGAATCGGTTGGCAAATTGTACACTTAATGGGGAGTTTGTGTTAACAATCTTAACAATTCCAGATTCATTTCACTGATTATCTTAGTCACAGTCTGCACTGACCATTTTTCTTCTTAATCCTGAAAATTGGCATGAGTTTGAAATAGAAGAGATTGTAGAACTCATCTTTAATCTGTTTTACGCATTTTCTTTTGACAATTTGCCCATTGAAGTACACCCAGAACGAATAAGCATACTTCTTAAAAATTAATTAATCGCCTTATGATATGCTTGACTTAATGAATCTCCTCTGAATTATGCTTTAAATTGATTCGAGTGCTCCAGTTGACAAAAAAATAGGCATTGTGCTGAGGTTTCTTCGGAAGAATGAATTACCGATATTGAGAGCCATTAAGACTTCCATCACTTCTCAGTAATTATGAATTAACAGTACTTACGTCAATTTAAGAGCGACCTTAGAGCCGTGGTTTATGAGCTCATGTTCACATGCTCTGCATTTACCAATTTTTACTTAAATCTGTTGATTTTCGAACGCGCGAAGAATTCAATGCTCTCAATTCAAAAGCGACACCTTCCATTCTCAAACCAGCTGTATTATTTCGACATCTCTCTCCTCTTTCATAATCTTTAATTGGAAATAATTAGAATATATCATGGCTAATTTTACTAATAATAATAAATGCATAACTAATACGCACCCGTATTTGCTTATCTAATTCAGCATCACTTACGCTAACGATTTTAACGACTTCAAGGTCACTTGATCGACATTTGTACCCAACAGCCATCTCGCGATATATCGCATTCTTCCACATGTGGGTATGATCAGCACAGAGAGCTGTCCATTGGGCCGACTGATCCAAATCAGTGTGGTCAAAGTACCAGCATTTAGATATGTTGGAGGATCTCCTGGCTTCTTCCCAATGGTTGCATCTTTCTGCCAAATCATACCACTCCGTGCATACCTGTGGAACGAAATGAAAAAAAATAAGCTCCTGTATAGCAGCACAGGAGAGGAGGTGGAACTGAAAAACTCACAATTGTTGCGCACTTGCAAAAACGCATCGAAGTTGAGTAGATCGATGTATTTGATAATCACAAACTGAGACATTTCTACTATGCGCATAACAGGATTTATCCCATCATTTGAAAACCCATTTTTAAGAGAGTTAGATGAGTCTTTTCATTCCCCTGTTGCCTGCACTTATTCTGATCGTTCCGCAATCTCCTCTTTTTGGTTGGTTTTGAGAAATTTCAAAAGGCGAAGAGGAGCGTGCACTTAAATTTATTCTTATTTCGTTGTCAATGCGATTACTACAAGTAATTTTAAAATTCAAATTTGATCCAAATTGAGGAATGTTTAACATCATTAACAAAATCTTTTTCAAGTGAAATTTGCTATATTTTAATTCACGTACAAAATGTCTACATGCAAATCGACTGGCAGTCTAGAAATTGGTACAACGCAAACGTTTCAAGTCAATCAAGGGAAAATAAATTGAGCTGAATTGCAGAAAGAATGTGAAGTTTCGCAATTGGAACAATTGGAAGGTACGTCTAAACAGCTCGATAGAAAGCGACAATATGAAAATGGACAATACTATAAATTACTTGGCCAGACTTTTCAACGTGTCGCTCGGTTGAAACATCTCTGTCTGATTCGGTCAATCGTCTGTATTCAATCAATTTTTGTGATCTCGGTGGCATTGAAGGCTAACAGCACCACCGTCACCATCACCATTGTAGTGTGCATGTTTCAATATCAATGTAATTTAAAGTGCATTAATAGTTAAAATGATTCTTCTATCTAGTTCTAAAATGCCTATCGCATTTTCGTCCAAACACCAACGACTTATATCAGCCTATTTACTTGTTATTTAGGCGTCAACACTTTGCTTCCTCCATGTGACTTCGCTCTAGCTTCTGTAAGCATTAAATGACGCACTCTCACCTGACCTTGTTCTGAATTAAACGAAATAGCATATTATTTCCAGGGAAGTTGCCTCTAAGTCACACATGACGCCAGAACTTGGCAATTACACATTGAAGGGAAAAGGTATTTCCAAGATACCCACGACAACACACATTGGTCCTCTTAAACTTTGAATCAGAGTTACTGAGACAGGTACAAATAGAAATTACACCAAGAATCTATGATACTGTGAGGTATTTACTTACAAGCTGTTTTATTTCAGATTTCATGATATTGCGAGCAACAATTTAAAGCAGTAGAGTTAAGGAAGTATTTGCAGTAAATTGAAATTTATCTCGTACTGAAACATACTTAGTACCATGATGAGAATAATTTATGCCCTGATAAATCCACAGAAATTGTCGTAAAAAAGGGTGTTAATTTTGCTTGTTATCCAAGTCCAGTGAAAATGATACCTTTTTTCTTTAATTCCAGCCATCATTCTTTGGATTGAAATCAAATGCGTTGTCATGATATCTATTAGAGTTTATTTAATTACTGGTTTCAGAATAAGTGTAAATTTCACTAACGACTGATGCACATTTCTAACTTAACGACACGTCCCTCAAATTTGCTAACGAGGATTTGTGTCAAGTTGGAAGCAGCTGGTATCAGTGCCATTTGTTCAAATACAACAATAAATTCATTTAAAGCCTTTGTCCATTTTCCATTAAATTAGAATAGCAATGGTAATAGACTGTGAGATCCGTAAATGCACAAATCAGTATTTCATCCTCTAATGACAAACGTTTTCTAGGGTTTAGGAACTAATATCAAATTATATTAGGGTAAACGATTTCACTCGAAATTTCAAATCTTAGTTTGGAGCTTTTAGACAAGGAAAAAGCTCTTGCACACGAGGATCGTTTCAACTTTGATCATTCCTCCGCAATTGGTTCCCAGCTGCTAATCAAGCATTTTTCTATGCTCAAAGAAGGCGAAACAATTGAAGTTCCAATATATGAATTCGTGACACATACTCGAACCGGTAATAAACTCAAAGTTGATTTGTCCCGTATGAATAACCACTTTTAATTATGAACTACGGAATAGAAACAGTTTTTGGTAGCATAAATTGATCTACTGGTAATAACAAGCAGCAAATTGTAAGGCCTAATAAACTCGCTACTGCCGAAAAGTTCCCTTCCCCTCCTGTCTGGCCGACTATGTACACTTAGTACGTCGGGCATTTCCATTCACCTTTTAGGTTCCTACAAACGCTCCTGAGGGGGAGTATTGTGGCACACTTCATCACAGGCGCGCACACTATGCTTAAGGTGCGGCCATGCAACCTCGCACACGGATTGGTTGCGGAGACGCACAGCCAATGACCAATAGAAAGTCTGCGTTTGTTTTTTGTCCGGCCATTTTGTATGATTAACTTTTCCTTTTGAGCACAATTCACTATCATTATCTAGTGAATAAATGTTTCATTGATACGTCTCTCTCTTCTGAAGTCTCGGTAATTAGGAGAATCTACCACCGAGGTTTCTGAGACTTAAGTCAAGGCTTTAATAAAGTAGCAATCCGCTACAACGTGACTTCGTGAAACATTCTCGTACCGGTAATTCCCTTATATTTGATGGCGTTAGTGTAGTAATTTTAGAAAGAACCGTGACCTATTACTATCAGGAGCTATTGGAGGTAATTCATTCTTGGAAGAAATATGTTTTTAAATATACTCACAAGAATGGAAATATTCCGAACATTTTGTAATGTTATTTAAGCTTATGGATGTGAAGATTTTCGTTGAAACCGATGCTGAAGTGCGTCACTCTAGGCGACTTCTTCGAGACATTCGTGAGCGTGGTCGTCAAGTCAACGACATCATTCGTCAGTATTTCTCGTTCGTCAAACCAGCTAACGACAACTTTATCGCTCCGACAGGGTCTCGTGCGGATATTATTGTCCTTTTCAAAGATGCGAACCCCGTAGCGATTGGAAGACTTCTAAATGAACACTTGAAACGGCGCTGTTCCAGTGTGCGGTCCACGAACACGACTCCATATTAAGAGGAATTTTCACTTGCAAGAGCTTAATTGCACCAGTAATTGCAGGAAGTGGTAGGGTGGTCTTTCATCTTTGAATGTCTAAATTTTGACTGCATTAATATTTGACAAATAATTTGTGAAGAGCCCTTTCATTTCAACATGTACCATCAGTGGTCATCGGAACATTGACATTTTGAGTTGACAAAATTATTTTGCATTGAAAATCGAAGTACAATTTGCTATATTAAAGCAAACATAAATAAAGTCTCAATATTTTCTATTCCGACACTTATCCTATTATTTTGGTCTGTATCTCAAGTTCCAGCTATTTGGAATTGCGGAAATTAT